TATATATATATATATATATATGTGTGTGTGTGTGTGTGTGTGTGTGTGTGTGTATCTGTATCTGAAATGTTATTTTCTTTGTATTTTAATCAACTAATTTCATTCAAAACCTTAGTAGCCAGGGCTTGAGAGACCTTAACCTATTGCCTTCTTGAGCACAAGTGGAGTCAAAGTGATGCAAATGTTATGTGCATGGTTTCGCCTTTGTCTTTGTTTTTTCATTACGCCAAAGAAATTATTTTGTTGATAAACTTGTGTGGTCAGTGGCTGGACAGGTTCTTTCTTATATCTACTTCATTTGCATGCTTTGTTTAGCCATCTTCACCTTTAGCCACTGCCCCCTCCTAAAACATATCATAGATAGGACGACCCTGTCTCAAATCAGACTCATTTTAAACTGGTTTCAGACTTGTGTTAGACTTGTTAGATGTTGTTTAACTGCAGAACAACCAACACATCTCAATAAGGAATTCTGCTCGTAACAAGTCTCCTGAACTCGTTCTCATTTTTCCAACACAAGCTTTCTTTAACATATGTATAGTCTTCAACCTAATAGTCAAACAGTTCTGAAACAAGTTAAGAGTGAGTAAATGATGTCAGAGTTTTTATTTTTTTTGGGTGAACTATCCCTTTAATTAACATTAATTAGGCTCACCACCTAAATATCTACAGTTTCAAATCAATCAGTGACCACTTCTGCTAATAAATAGTATATATGTATATATAATGATAACTATAGTTAGCCATCTGAACAGCTATGCACCGCATTTTGTTCTGATGAGTTGTAAAACCAGTAGGTCACAGATTTCAGATTCGTACTTAACAGTTCTACATTGCAACAGGTTTACTCGCTCTTTTTAAGTAACTAGTTTCTTACAGATCTCTAAATGACAACACAGAGCAAATCAAATGCTCTTGAAGAAAATGTTTCTCACGTCAAGTTTCTAGCAAGACTGTAGATTGGTTTATTAGTGAATAAACGAGTCTCTTACCTTTTAACTCAGACAGCAGGAGTCCGGGAAAGTGAAGTGTAAATGCAAGCTGAAAAAGTTTGTTCACAGTCTTTCCTTCCTCTTTTTAATCTATTTCAGCGGTCTGCCACATTGCAATGGCAGAGGCAAAAGTGCAAAAGAAATTGTCCGCTGAATCAGCAGGATTGATAGAAAGGATTAAATAAAAATACACATATTTTACAAATACACATTAAAATAAAATACACACCTGCATGAAGACTACATAGCTGTTAAAAACTATTAGTGAAACTTTTAGACATCCTGGTGAACTTCCTGCCACCGTGATCAGTGTTGAAGAGTTTCCGACACACTTGATGTTTTTCGCTTGAAAGAGAAGGAACTTCTTCATTTTTATAGACAGTGCTTACACAATAGGATCAAGCCATGCATGCGAATATCCGGGGTCTAAACTCATCATCATCATCTGTTTCTTTGAGCTGTGAACATCTGCAATTACATTTTTATTTGAGTATATTTCAAATTAAAAAATAGGAATATGTCAGTATATGGGCGAATCAGTGGCGGAGTATAGTGCTGTCGCCTCACAGCAAGAAGGTCGCTGGGTCGAGCCTAGGCTCAGTTGGCGTTTCTGTGGGGAGAACATGCAAACTCCACATAGAAATGTAAACTGACCCAGCCGAGACTCGAACCAGTGATCTTCTTGCTGTGAGGCGACAGTGCTAACCACTGAGCCACCATGCCTCCCCTCACTTAAATATTAAATATAATATTTATTTCAAAATAAATATATTAAATACAGTAAATAAAAATACATTAAAAATGATCAAAATAATACAAAATAAATATATTAATTAAAAATACAGTAAATAAAATTACATTAAAATGATCAAAATAATAAAAATAAATATATTAAATACAGTAAATAAAAATACATTAAAATGATCAAAATAATACAAAGTAAATATATTAATCAAAAATACAGTAAATAAAATTACATTAAAATGATCGAAATAATACAAATAAATATTAATTAAAAGTACAGTAAATAAAAAATACATTAAAATATCAAAATAATACAAAATAAATATATTAGTTAAAAACAGTAAATAAACATGCATTAAAAATGATCAAAGTTATACAAAATAAATATATTAATTAAATAAAGTACATAAAAATACATTAAAAATGATCAAAATAAATATATGAATTAAATACAGTAAATAAAAATACATTAAAATGATCAAAATAATACAAAATAAATATATTAAATTAAAATACAGTAAATAAAAATACACTTAAAATGATCAAAATATTAAAAATAAACATGTGCCCCCAACAATACTGGGTCAAATATAGGTTAAAAAGTTTTTTGATATTTAATTGAAACTATCAACACTGGATTTGTCCATATTTGACCCAATAGCGGGTCACAACAACTCAACATGCATATGAGTGTAGTCATATTTTTGATATATAGTTTGTTTAATTTTTAATGCATTTTGGCAAACTAAACTAGCACATTTAATAGAGAGTACTTAGTACTAGTTAGGTAGCTAAATTTAGCAACTAACAAGCCAAACTGGATAATGATCACTTACCGTCTTTGTCCTGAAGAGGGAGCTGTTACTACATCTGCGTTCACTTAAAGGGACAGGTCATCCAAAAATATCAGTTCTGCCATCATTTACTGACCCTCCATTTTTCTTACCAGATACATTTGAACTTCTTTCTTTGGTTGAACTCAAAAGTAGATATTTTGAAGAATGCTGCAAACCTTTGACTTCCATGTAGCATACATTTATTTTAAACTGATGTTGTTTACAAATGCACAAACAGCAAATATTACTATAATAATGAACTAATGTCCATTTATATGGTACAAAAGTCTATCTTTTGGGAAGTTTCAGCCCATGTGACCGATTTTATTCCTCATTTCAGAGTGTTTATTTATTATTAACCCTTTAACTGTTGTTATTGAGATTATAGTCTGTCAGCATAAACACTGACTGTAGAGTTTTATGTTGATTTGTGAGGCATCATCACTTGGTGTCTTCTCAGAATGACCACAGGACTTGTAGAGCTGCTCATCGATGGATTACTCTTCAGTGTTTGCACTCTCAGCAGTGAATATTAAACCACACTGAACTGAACTAAACCGAACTGCAACTCTGAAAACTGGACTGACACGGTTTACATTTACTATAATCTTTCATGTGAAGCTGCTTTGACAATCTACTTTGTAAAAGCGCTAGAGAAATAAAGATGAACTCAACTGACACACGAGAGCAGTGCCAGCAGAGATTTCCTTCTGCCAGCATGAACTAAACGCCTTTCAGTTTTGATTTTAGTGCAGAACTTTCACAAGAGCAAACCACAGAGAAACCAGCGGAAGAACCTGGCAGTGAGATTACAACACACACACACACACACACACACACACACACACACACACACACACACACACACACACACACACACACACACACACACACACACACACACTCAGATTCACTGGAGGTTGGTGATGATGATGAGGGTGTCTTTGATGTGTGTTTGATCGGTTTCTTGTGTGTGTTTTTGGTTTGTTTCAAGTTCTCAAGCACAAAAACCACAATACTTCAGCTGAGCAGATCTTAAACACACTCACATCATTTTATAGCAGCAATTGACAAAAGAAAGAAACAAACAAACAATAACCGGGTCAGATTCAGTTTAGCAAATTTTAGATTTATTCGTGATCAGATGTCATGTGAGGCTGCTCTAATCTATTATCACTCCATGATCATTTCTCACATCACTTATTGTTTAACCACTTGGTCCCAAGCCAGCATCACTACTCTGAAGCCACTTAAATCTTTATACAAACAATCCATAAAAATCCTTGATAAGAAATCAGTTCAATATCACCATTGTTTAATATTAAAAAAATACAACCTGCTTAGTTGGGAAAATTTAATTACATATGTACATATCTGTTTAATGTTTAAGACTTTACATAACCCGACTTCACCATTAAATCAGTTTATAAATATTAGAACGACTGCTCACCGAACTACTAGAGGTGACAGAGAAGACTGCATTATTCCTCTCAAAAAAAGCAAATTCAGTCAATGTGTATTTTCAGTGAGAGCTGCTAGGGAATGGAACTCCATCCCACCAACAATTAGAAGATCATGCACTTTTCGTTCTTTTCAGTCTCATGTTAGAAATTGGTTATTGACAAACCAGCATTGTCAGCATTAGTATTCTTGACACATTTGTACTGTTGTCTTTGCCTTTTTGTCCTCTGCTCCCATCAGTCTGTTCTTTTTTTTTCTTTTCTTCTTTTCTTTTCTTTACTTTTTTAACTGTATTTCTTATGAAAGTGTATTTAATGTTTAATGTTGTGCTTCTATTTTAGGTGTGACTTTTTAACAGTCTGTAAATGGTCTACGGATGAAAAATAGCCATTCTTGGCTAATTCTGGCACATTTTACAGTAATGTTTATTAATGTGCATTGACCCTGTAAACAAATAAACTAAACTAAAAAAAAAAAAAAAAAAAAAAACAGCACAATTCTGAAAAGTAATGAAAACCTGATGTACACAAATCCTCCATTCTGCAGTGAGTTTAAAGAGATGTGATCCAAAAATAAACATTAAGTCTGTTTATAAAGTCTAGCTCAGGACTCCAATGCTCTTCAAAATAAATTATTTAACCTTTTTTAGGGCACTCTATAGTGTAATGTGGTTTATTAAAAGATGTATACCGTTTTGAACTTGCTGAAAATGTTATAAACAATCACAACAAACTGGCCTAAAACACAAAATGACAAAGTAAAATACTCTCTTCCACAAATGTAAAAGTGAAAGTGAAAACAAAAAGCGTGCATTCGAAAGGTGCCTCAGTATTTGAATATGCCTCCCCTTGTGGGTATTAAAGGAACTGCAGCACTAGTCATCAGAAACAACTGCTGTTAGATTTAGAGTTATTCTAAATCTAGAGCTGTTAGAGTTATTCATTCGTTCATTCTCTTTTCAGCTTAGTCCCTTTTTTATCAGGTGTCGCCACAGTGGAATGAACCGCCAACTCATCCAGCACATGTTTTATGCAGTGGATGCTCGTCCAGCTGCAACCCATCAACTGATTGAATAACTACAATTAGACCGCATTTAATCATCATGACAGGCCTAATTAAACTCTGAATCACAGTTTTCTATGATGACTATAACAATTCACAATTTTTGCATCAAAATTTTTGTATTGTACAAAATAAATGATAAATGCATCAAAATGAACAACCCGTTCCAATGTTATTTCATATGTAAAATATAATCACATAATGTTCAGGTGGTATCTCAGTCATTAACTTTTGTACAGAAATCAAACATGCACAGTGACTTTCCATTGAAGTACACTATTAGTATTGTACGCTCAGTTTCTCACCTAATTTGCATAGGCTATACTCTGGTATATTTTATTTGATTTTCAGGAAAATAAATAAAATACGTTCTTACTCTAGTTTATACAAATAATAAGCATATCTTATTTTAAAGATAAATTTAGATGTCAAAAATCGTCCTTATGGCGCCTCCTGCTGGTCAAAAGTGACTAAACGTGTAGTACATTTCTGATTAATTATGAAACAAAAACAACACCAGCCAGTCAGGAACTCACAGTAAACCACTAAATATGATAGTACATATCTAGACATCTTTTGAAAAGTAGATATACATTTATCCAGCATTATGTGTTACCAACTTTACATATTCGATATACAACTTTACATGTATTTGTATTGTTTATATATAAACCTGTACTTCTTAAAACGCATATACATGATAGAAATTGAATATTATTTATAATATACTTATAAAATCGAAGAGGCTGATTAAATTACCTGTAAACTGTAAAACATTGATTAGTTAACTTTACTTAAAAAAAGGATCTGAACAGTTGCCTTAAAGTGATTATGTAAACAAACTTGGCGCATAATTACCAAAATTAAGTTAAAAAGCTTAGCAGTTTCAAGTTACAAACTCACTTTAAGTAAAGCCAACTTGTCGTTTTAAGGCAACACGTTTACTCACATTAATGTGTTTAAAGTCAAGTAACTGATCGCTTTTTACAGAGTACAGATGCCGTCTTATTTCTATTTGAGATGATTCTCAACCCCAAAAACATAAGGAAGTGAAAGAGAAATTAGACAGACGCAGACAGACACGCACGGATTTATGCTTTGAACTCTTTGGTTAGAACTCATTCATCATGTGGACAGTTCAGTGTACAGTGGTGTGCTTCTGCATCTGCACAGGTGAGTGTCGTCGCTTTACTGTAAAACAGGAGCTTCTCCAATTCAGCTTCAGAAACTATTCGCTCTGATTTAATGAACTATAAATTAATAATGGTTTAAAAACGGTATAGTGATGTTACAAAATATGTATTTATTATATAAATTGAGTCTCTTTATTTGGTTGACAGAGTAAGAGAGCGTCTGAAAACACTGTGATTTTAATATTTACTATTGCTGTATTTAATATGTACATTTAAAACTATATTTAGACTATTTGCTTTTGTTTTGAATGTTAAAGTCATTTGTTTTGAATGTTTTTTTGTGCAAAAATTGTCATTTAGAGCCTTTTTGTAAAAAATAAATAAATAAATAAATAAATAAATAAATAAATTAAATAAAAACGCATGCTTTCATACATGCTTATTTTCAGTTTTAGACAACACAATACCACTGCTAAATCATGTTTATACTTCAGAATAATTATGAAATTAATATTTTTACATAATGATTCAACATTATATATTTCTATGTGCAAAAACCCACCCAGGACATAAAAAAAAGTTATGAATATTTTTTTTTTTTTTTATGGAAAAAATGCTCAACAGCACAGTGGCTCAGTGGTTAGCACTGTTGCCTCACAGTAAGAAGGTCACTGGTTTGAGTCCTGGCTGGGTCAGGTAACATTTCTTTGTAGAATTTGCATGTTCTCCCCGTGTTGTCGTGGGTTTCCTCCAGTTGCTCTGGTTTCCCCCACAGTCTAAACACATGCATTATAGGCGAATTGAATAAACTAAAATGTCCGTAGTGTACAAGTGTTCGAATGTGTGAATGGGTGTTTTCTAGTACTGGGTTGCGGCTGGAAGATTATCCACTGCATAAAACATATGCCAGAATTGTAAGTGGTTCATTATATTGTGGCAACCTCTAAAATAGAGACTAAGCTGAAGGAAAATTATTGAATGAATAAATTAATCTAAAAATCCAGTAAACCCATGGAAACTGATTTTTTTTGAGTGGTCTCTCTTTTTTTTTTCCATAGTAGGGTTTAAATTCACTAGTTTGCATTTCAAAAACGAAGTATAGTTGACACAAATCACAACAGAACAGTATAGAATTAATATTTCCCAAATGTTTTTCATTTCCAGCTTTTCTACCAAAAATTAGTAGCATTGCTATCACTGAATATGAGGGCAAAAGCATTACATTTCGCACCAGCTACACAGAGGGCTTTGAGACAAACAGCAAGTACTTCAGCAGATCAGACACATTCTTCTCTGAGAAACTAGTAGAGACTTCTGAATCTAACCGATGGACAACACATGGCAGATTCGCTATTTTCGACAACACATCCGCGCACGTAATCATCGCCACCATCTTGAATTTGACCATGGAAGATTCCGGCTCGTACACTGTGGGTGTGGATGTGACACTGCTGCCTGATTATGATGCTGAAATACAGCTGACTGTAATGAGAGGTGAGAGACAGTCTTTGACATGTAGCCTAAGCATTGTTTCACACATTGTCGAATGCAGAAGTCATGTGGCTTAGAGGAAAAAATAATTAAAGTTTTACCTTTCTGCACAGCTAAAGCTCAGAAAACCACAACACCACGACAGAGACTCACAACAACACCACAGGGACTCACAACACCATCACAGAGATTTGCAACACCATCACTGAGACTTGCAACAACATCACAGAGACTCGCAACACCTTCAAAAGGTACCATACTAAACCCAAGGGATTTTTAACTGTTGCAAAACTATTTTCCCTGCTGAACAAAAAACAGCATAAACAAGTCCAAGCTAGATCCAGAACATTAGATCCAAGCCAGTAGATCCAGACCACTAGATCCAGACCACTAAATCCAAGCCACTAGGTCCACTAGTTCATGGCCACAAAAATCCAGACCACCAGATCCAGAACACTAGATCCAGTCTAATAGACGCAGATCATTAGATCCAGTCCACTAGGTCAAGACCAATAGATCCAGGTTCAATAGATCAGTACCACTAGTTTATGACCACTAGATCAAGGCCAGTAGATTCAGAGCTTTTAATGCAGACCCCTAGATTAAGACCAGGAGATCCAGGCAACTAGGTTCAGGTCACTAGATCAAGACCACTAGATCAGGAACACTAGATCTAGACTGCTAGATCCAGGCCATATTCAATATAGTGTGTCCTGAAATATGTGGGTCTGCAGCTGGACATTACCAGATTAAACCAGCCTGGAATTGGCCAAAACAAATGCCGTCTTATTTCTATTGGAGATGATTCTCAACCCCAAAACATAAGGAAGTGAAAGAGAAAACAGACAGACTCAGACAAACACGCACTGATTTATGCTTGAACTCTTTGGTTGAAACCATTCATCATGTGGACAGTTAAGTGGACAGTCTTGTGCTTCTTCATCTGTACAGGCGAGTACCATCACTTTACTGTGTTTCCCAGTTCTGGGTATAGCAGCTGGAAGGGCATCCCCTGTGTAAAAACATGCTGAAATAGTTAGCGGTTCATTCCAGAAACAGATTTCTTGAGTGTTGTGGCCTAGATTTAGTGGTCTGTATTTAGTGGCCTGGATTTAGTGGCCATGATTTAATGGTCTGAACCTAGTGGCCTGGATCTAGTAATCTGGATTTAGTGGCCTAGCGACAGCGAGAAGGTCACTGGGTGGAGCCTCGGCTCAGTTGGCGTTTCTGTGTGGAGTTTGCATGTTCTCCCTGCGTTCGCGTAGGTTTCCTCCCGGTGCTCCGGTTTCCCCTACAGTCCAAAGACATGCGGTACAGGTGAATTGGGTAGGCTACATTCGTAGTGTATGAGTGTGTGTGTGAATGTGTGGGTGGATGTTTCCCAGGGATGGGTTGCCGCTGGAAGGGCATCCGCTACGTAAAAACTTGCTGGAAAAGTTGGCGGTTAATTCCGCTGTGACGACCACGGATTAATAAAGGGGCTAAGCCGACAAGAAAGAAAAATGAATAGTTTGCATGTCAAACTTCGAAGTATAGTTGAAAGATCACGACTGAACAGTATAGAACTAATATTTCCCAAATGTTTTTCATTTCCAGCTTTTCTACCAAAAATTAGCCGTGCTATTACTGAATATGAGGGGAAAAGCATTACATTTAGCACCAGCTACCTAGAAAGCTTGGAGACAAACAGCAAGTACTTCAGCAGATCAGGTTACTTCTGTGAGAAACTGGTGGAGACTTCTGAATCCAACCGTTGGACAACACACGGGAGATTCGCTATTTTCGACAACACATCCACACACCTAATTACCACCACCATCTTGAATTTGACAGTGGAAGATTCCGGCTTGTACATCGTGGCCGTGGATGTGACACTGTGGCCTGATCCTGAGACTGAAATACAGCTGACTGTAATGAGAGGTGAGAGACAGTCTTTGAGATATAGCCTAAACATTGCTTCACACATTGTTGAATGCAGAAGTCATGTGGCTTAGAGGAAAAAATAGTGAAAGTTTCACATTTCTGCACAGCTGAAGTGCAGAAAACCACGACACCACCACAGAGACTCACAACACCATCACAGAGACTTACAACACCGTCAACAGGTACCTGAGTAAATCAGAGGGACTGTGAACTGTTACAATTTCTTTTTTCCGTGCTGAAAAGCAAAGCTGCTTAAACCAACACAAGCTGGGTGGTTTAGCTGGTCGATCAGGCGAGTTTTAAAGGGGTTTTAGCCACTTTCAGGCTGGTTTTAGCTGGTCAGGTGAAATTTATCCAGTTCCAGGCCCGCATACCCTCTCAAGTTTCAGACCACTGGATCCAGACCACGAGATCCAAGCCACTAAATCGGGATCACTAGTACCAGGCTACTAGATCCATGCCACTAGATCCAGGTCTCGATTTTCAAACTGCTAGATCGAGACCACTAGCTTCAAATCACTGGGTCTAGAACACAAAGTCCAAGCCACTAAATCAAGATCACTGAATCCAAGCCACTAGATTAAGACCACTAGATCTAAGCCACTTGATACAGGCCACTAGGTCCAGACCATTAAATCATGGCCACTAGATCTAGACCACTAAATCCAGATTACCAGATCCAGGCCACTAGGTTCAGACCATTAAATCATGGCCACTAATTCCAGGCCACAAGTATCCAGACCACCATATTCAGGCCACTAGATCAGTTCTAATAGACCCAGGGCACTAGACCCAGATCATTATATCAAGACCACTAAATCAAAGCCAATAGATTCAAGCCACTAGATTAAGGCCACTAGATCCAAACCACTAGATCCAGGCCATTGGGTCTAGAACATGAATTCCAAGCCACTAGATCAGTGGTCACCAAACTTGTTCCTGGAGGGCCGGTCTCCTGCAGATTTTAGCTCCAACCCTAATCAAACACACCTGAACAAGCTAATCAAGGTCTTGTTAGGTATACTTGAAACATCCAGGCAGGTGTGTTGAGGCAAGTTGGAGCTAAATCCTGCAGGGACACCAGCCCTTCAGGACTGAGATTAGTGACCCCTGCACTAGATCAAGACCACTGAATCCTAGCCACTAGATTAAGGCCACTAGATCCAGGCCACTAGGACAAGACCATTAAATCATGGCCAATAGATCTAGACCACTAAATTTAGATTACCAGATCCAGGCCATTTGGTCCAGAACATTAAATCATGGCCACTAGATCTAGACCACTAAATTCAGATTACCAGATCCAGGCCATTAAATCATGGCCACTAAATCCAGGCCAAAAGTATCCAGACCACCAGATTCAGGCCACTGGATCCAAGCTTAGACCCAAGGTGCTATACCCAGGTCACTATATCAAGACCACTAAATCCAAGCCACTAGATCCAAGCCACTAGGTCCAAAACATTAAATCATGGCCACTAAATCTAGGCCACAAGGATCCAGGCCACAAGAATCCAGACCACTAGATGCAGGCCACTACATCCAGTCTAATAGATCCAGGCCAGTAGACCCAGCCCACTAGACCCAGGCCACTAGATCAAGTCCACCAAATCCAAGCCACTATAGATCCAAGCCACAAGGTCCATAACATTAAATCATGGCACCTAATCCAGAGCACTAGATCCAGTCTACTAGATCGAGGCCAGTATAGTAAACCTAGGTCGCTAGATCTGATGGTTATGTGATTTATAGTTTGTGTTTGTTTGTGTTTTTTTTTTGTTTTTTGTTTTTAATTATTATTGTGTACACCTTCAAGCCTAAACCCACCCCTTACAGCAATAAAATGATCAGTCAAAACCAGTTATATCCAGCTTAAAGCAGCTAAAACCAGCCTTGAACTGAACAAAACACTTCTCAAATCTGACTAGTCAATCAGTTAAAACCATAGTCTTTTTAGGGGGGCTGCCTTTTAGAAGGCAGTGTATATTTTATTTTTTCATATATATTGATTAATTTTTAAATGTTGTGTTTCAGTTGATGTCCACAACACAAATATCCCTGCATATATCACACCACAGAACAAGGCCAATACAGGTACTACAGGTATTACAGGGTTTTTCATCTGTTTTATTCATTTCAAATGTTCTGTCCTATCAGTTGTGGCATTTGATCTGATTGTCTTTCACTTGTTCATCCGTTTTGTTCTTTAAGAATCGATTTCTTTTTAAATGCATCTAGACTTAGCTTGTATCTATTTGTTTACTAGTTCTGACAGTCCTGTGAGTCCTGATTTTTCATATTCCTCTTAGCGGTTCTGAGCATGTTTGGGCTAGTGTTTATTATAACTCTGATGACACCAGTTCTGCAAATATCTCTACACAGAAAATAGATAGTTTCCCTTCCTCTCTCAGTTTCTTTCTTTTGTATAAATGAAGAGTGTTTTTAATCAGGTGTTTTATCAGCTCGTTTCTCTTTTTTCCCCACAGAACCCCACCTCAGCTTGATGACAGTGCTGATGGTGGTGTGTGCTTGCACATTTCTGCTGGTGTGTCCGTTCAGTCTGTTTAAACTGTTGAAATCGTCTAGCGTCTGCAAGCGGTCAGGTGAGACAACTTCATGAGTCTTTCTACACAATATTTATTAATAGATTTATCATCTCCTTTTTTTATGCTCCAGCTTCTGCGCCTTACCACATGAGGAATACATCAGCTCAAGTTACTGTAAGTTTGTAAATAATCACATATGTAGGATTCACACGTGTTACTGCTTAAGATATGTTTCCATTCAAAGATGTGAGTTACATTTATGTGCAAAACTGGAATATTGCATGAAACATTAATGAACAAAGCAGCATTTCCAGACTATGGGAAACAAAAGAGAACAATATTATCATTTAAACCTGCTCAGATCTTGCTGAGAGAAGTGTAGTTTGACGCATTGGGATTTGCCACTGTGGTGTTTTTCTTCTCTAATAAATGAGTTGCGCCTCAGAAGACGAAATGCAATGAACGCAATGAATTTGGTGGCTTTTGTAGGTGTGAGACGCTCTTTGGGACTGCAGACAGATGCTCAAGAAAGTTCTGGAAAAAATATTAATAGAAGAATAAAAGTAAAAATTCATAGACAAACTTGGTGGTGGCTTGAGAAAGCAGAGTTTGAACGTTTGAAGTAGTTTAAATAACTGAAGTAGTTTTTAAAGAGTTTGAAACAGTTATGAGTACATATAGGTTAGCATGTTTCTAATATGGATCCACATGTTTCTTGCTAGGCTGCTGATAGGGGGTTCTGAGTGGTTGCTAGGTGGTTGCTAAGGCCTTGCTAGGGTGCTTTGAATGGTTGTTAAGGTATTGCTAGGTGTTTTCTATGTGATGTTTTATGTGTTTGCTAGGGTGCTCCTAGTGGTTGCTAAGGTGTTGCTAGGTGGTTGCTAACTGTTCTAGGTTGTTGCTAAGGTGTTGCAAGGGTGCTCTGATTGGTTGCTTAGATGTTGCTAAGGTGTTCTAGGTTGTTGTTAAGGTATTGCTAAGTGGTTGCTAAAGTGTTCTGAATGGTTGTTAGGTGGTTGCTAAGGCGTTGCTAGGGTGCTTTGAATGGTTTTTAAGGTGTTGCTAGGCGGTCGCTATGTAGTGTTTTATGTGGTTGCTAAGGCGCTCTGATTAGTTGCTAAGGTGTTCTAGGTTGTTGCTAAGTTGTTGCTAGGTGGTTGCTTAGGTGTTCTAGGTTGTTGCTAAGGTGTTGCTAGGTGGTTGCTAAGGTGTTATAGGTAATTGGTATGGTGTTGCTAAGGTGTTATGATTGGTTGCTAGGTGGTTGCTTAGATGTTACTAAGGTGTTCTAGGTAGTTGATAAGGTGCTGCAAGGGTATTCTGATTGGTTGCTAGGTGGTTGTTAAGGCATTTCTAGGTGGTTGCTTAGGCGTTCTAGGTCATTGCTAAGGTGTTGCTAGGTGGTTGCTAGAGTGTTCTGAGTTGTTCTAGGTCATTGCTAAGGTTTTGCTGGTTGGTTGCTAAGGCATTGCTAGGTGGCTGCTGGGGGTGATCTGAGAAGTTGCTAAGGTGTTGCTAGGGGGTTGCTAAGGTGTTGCTAGGTAGTTGCTAAGGTGTTCTGAGTAGTTGTTAGGCAGTTGCTAACAAATTAACATGGTTCTAGTATGAATTAGCATGTTGCTAACATGTTTCTAGCATAAATTAGCTTGCTTTTAGCATGGTTCTAGTATGAATTAGCAAGTTGCTGACAGGTTTCTAGCATAAATTAGCTTATTTAAAGCATGGTTCTAGTATGAATTAGCATGTTGCCAGTATGTTTTTCCAGTATAGACTAGCATTCTGTAGGCATACATTTATTATGAATTAGCATGTTGCTAGTATAATTAGTATGTTTGTAGTATAGATTGCCATGCTGTTCATATGTTTCTGGTATTATTAGTGTGTTATTATGCTTGTTAGTATGTTTCTTTTATGAATTGGTATGTTGTTAGCATGTCCAATGTAAAGTCAATGGCAGTTCCTTTATAATGGAAGTCTATGGGATAGTTGCTATGGTGCAATAAGTGGTTGCTAGGATGTGGCTATTAAGTTGAAAGGTCATCATTGATTGGCAGATTAGAAGTCTGAGTTAAATGACCCCAACCCTTAAGTCTATGACAGTCTGGCGGTGTATGACGGCAATTGTTTTTAAGTGTATGACAGTCTGGCGGAGAGTTATGAGGTCACAAAGTTTGGTCCAATGTTAAGTCAATGGGGCTTTTGTGAAATTTCCAGGACAGTTTTCGGATACCCTTAAGTAAGATCAGTTGGAAAAGATATTGCAACTTAATTAAGTATAGTTTGGAGGTGTGGAGTTAGTTTGGTGGTTGGAATATCAAAGGTCTAGGAGGAGATGGTTCTTTAAAAAGTCTAAGAGGACGGAAGAATAATAAGTTTAAGTTGTATGTCAGTGTTTTGGCTTCCTCAAGCCACCATAATAATATTGAAGCACTGTAATGATGGGCTGAGGCATTTACATTTAGCAGAACAACAGTTCAGATCTGCAGTAATGGAAAGCTGGAAACATGGAGATCTGGAACCAACATTAATGACACAAAGACCCTCAAACACACGATTATATATGACCATCATCAGACAAAAGCTACATCACAGCATACAGAGCGAGTTATGCACATATTTACTTATCAAATAAAATCGTTTATCCCACTCATTTGTGCATTTTCA